TGCATCTAGCTGATCTAGGGTGTAATCATTAGTCCAACAGTTGCAAACGAGAGTTTCTATTGGACAAATGCAGGTATTTTTATCCCCGTTTCGCTCCGTTTGCTTCCGTTGATAGAGCATGGCGTTTGCAACGCCAGGGTTGTGGGTTTGATTCCCACGGGGGGCCAGTATAAAAAAATATGTATTCACTAACTGTAAGTCGCTCTGGATAAGAGCGTCTGCTAAATGACTAAAATTTAAATGTTTAAGAAATGTTTTTTTCGGAATGAATACACCCCTGATCACACGTAAACACATTTAACTTTCATAGCAGCCGCATTATGTTCCTTTTTGCATCTGCGTGCTCTCCTCCTCTCACCTTTTCCCTTCGCTTGTGGACTTCAATGCACAACACATCAGGCGAAAAAACCTTTCCAAGCCAAACCATATCATAACTGCTAATCGCTACAAACAGCCTACATTGTTGTCACCATATTAGCTAAAGTAACGTCATAATCAACACAGCTAATAGAACTAACACGTTAGTAACCCTGCTACAATCATGCAGTACAGTGTACAGTCAGTAAGCAGTTTAGCAGTTAAACCGGCGAGCCCCCGGTGGCAATAAATAAACAGTTTGGGAGCTTGTGAAACCTTACCAACACAAAGTGCATATCCTGAAATTCACCATTGACTATTTAAAAAAAAGACCCTTTACTCAGTACTTTGTTGAAGCACCTTTGGCAGCATTACAGCATCAAGTCCTCTTGGGTATGACGCTACAAGCTTGGCACACCTGTATTTGGGGAGTTTCTTCCATTCTTCTCTGCAGATCCTCTCAAGCTCTGTCAGGTTGGATGGGGTGCGTTGCTACACAGCTATTTTCAGGTCTCTCCAGAGATGTTCGATCGGGTTCAAGTCCGGGTTCTGGCTGGGCCACTCAAGGACATTCAGAGACTTGTCCCGAAGCCACTCCTGCGTTATCTTGGCTGTGTGCTTAGGGTCGTTGTCCTGTTGAAAGGTGAACCTTTGCCCCAGTCTGAGGTCCTGAGCACTCTGGAGCACGTTTTCATCAAGGATCTCTCTGTACTTTGCTCCATTCATCTTTGCCTCAATCCTGACTAGTCTCCCAGTCCCTGCTGCTGAAAAACATCCCCACAGCATGATGCTGCCACCACCATGCTTCACCGTAGGGATGGTGCCAGGTTTCCTCCAGACGTGACGCTTGGCATTCAGGCAAAAGAGTTCAATCTTTGTTTCATCAGACCAGAGAATCTTGTTTCTCATGGTCTGAGAGTCTTTTAGGTGCCTTTTGGCAAACTCCAAGTGGGCTGTCATGTGCCTTTTACTGAGGTGTGGCTTCCGTCTGGCCACTCTACCATAAAGGCCTGATTGGTGGAGTGCTGCAGAGATGGTTGTCCTTCTGGAAGGTTCTCCCATCTCCACAGAAGAACTCTGGAGCTCTGTCAGCGACCATCGGGTTCATGGTCACCTCCCTGACCAAGGCCTTTCTCCCCTGATTGCTCAGTTTGGCTGGGAGGCCAGCTCTAGGAAGAGTATTGGTGGTTCCAAACTTCTTCCATTTAAGAATGATGGAGGCCACTGTGTTCTTGGGGATCTTCAATGCTGCAGACATGTTTTGGTACCCTTCCCCACATCTGTGCCTCGACACAATCCTGTCTCAGAGCTCTATGGACAATTCCTTTGACCTCATGGCTTGGTTTTTGCTCTGACATGCACTGTCAACTGTGGGACCTTATATAGACAGGTGTGTGCCTTTCCAAATCATGTCCAATCAATTGAATTTACCACAGGTGGACTCCAATCAAGTTGTAGACACATCTCAAGGATGATCAATGGAAACAGGATGCATCTGAGATCAATTTCGAGTCTTATAGCAAATGGTCTGAATACTTATGTAAATAAGGTATTTCTGTTTTTAATTTTTAAGACATTTGCAAAAATTAAAAAGAAACTCTGGAATTATTTTTATTTAATCCATTATAGAATAAGGCTGTAATGTAACTAAATGTGGAAAAAGTCAAGGGGCCTAAATACTTTCTGAAGGCACTGTACATGTGTCTAATCGGAGCAGTTTCAGATAGCACAGGAGAGAGTGCATGTTTGGGGTCTTATCTGCTGTTAGCAGAAATGTGTGTGTGTGTGTATGTTCACTGGGGGAGGGTTGGTTGGCTCTTTTTGAAAACCTTTACGGTAAGTCTTTACTGGTTCTCCCAGTGCTGGCCCTCTATGATTGAGTTGACTTCCTGCTGGCGGGCGTTGTAATGTCGCTGTCTGAGCTCTTACTGCTAATACTTCATTTCTCCACTGCCCACTGGTTCCGCTAGCCTATAGCACACACAGGCTTTACTCTGTGGAGTAACTCATCCCTGGTGTGGGGGTGGGATGACCCCATCACTAGAAAGTTGAGGCTCAAGTTGGTACCTACAGTAGATTACAATAAAAAATAAAAAATAAATACAGTCGATTCATGCACTGTATTTATTGTTGAATAAATTAAGAGTGTGTGTGCAGATTTTGCTGCGAAGAGACAGATTCATTAGATCATTTGTTTTGGTACTGTCCATTTGTAGCTTGTTTTTGGACACAGGTCCAGGAATGGCTAAAGGATTGCAATATTTACCTGGAGCTAACCCTGCAGATAGCAATACTGGGTGATCTGACAAGTCATAGTCAATCAATCAATAATATAATAATACTTTTAGCAAAAATGTTTATTTTCAATTTACAATCTGTAGAAACAATGAGAATAGAAGGGTTCAGAACTTTTGTAAAACATCACAGTACAGTTGAAAAATATATGGCAATAGAGGTGTTAAGAGATAGATGGGTGGTGTTGAATGGAGTTGAAGGATGGGACTAATAACAACTAACAACAACTAATAACAACAAGATAACTCATGTAAAGCATACTGTGTCCATAATAAGTATATAGGTTATAGGTTGAGAGCTTTTGTGAAAGAGCACAGTTAGAAAGATATGGCATATAGAAGCAAACCGGATGGACATCATGAAAATGATCAGAGAGGTTGAGGGTAGAGGAAGTTCAGGAGTAAAAACAAACAAAATAGAATTATTGTAAAATTGACTGTCCATAAAATGTATATAGTATGTATAAGCTGGAAGTAGAGGCCTAAGCATTGTTGTTCACTAGTTTACTCCAATTAGGGAAGGGGAGGTGGGGTTGGAAAGTAATAAAGGGAAATATATATATTTTTTAAAGGATATGTATATATATGTATGTATATGTATTTATATGTATGTACGTGTATGTATGTATATATATATACAGTGAGGGAAAAAAGTATTTGATCCCCTGCTGATTTTGTACGTTTGCCCACTGACAAAGACATGATCAGTCTATAATTTTAATGGTAGGTTTATTTGAACAGTGAGAGACAGAATAACAACAAAAAAATCCAGAAAAACATTATAAAATGATTTGCATTTTAATGAGGGAAATATGTATTTGACCCCTCTGCAAAACATGACTTAGTACTTGGTGGCAAAACCCTTGTTGGCAATCACAGAGGTCAGACGTTTCTTGTAGTTGGCCACCAGGTTTGCACACATCTCAGGAGGGATTTTGTCCCACTCCTCTTTGCAGATCTTCTCCAAGTCATTAAGGTTTTGAGGCTGACGTTTGGCAAATCGAACCGTCAGCTCCCTCCACAGATTTTCTATGGGATTAAGGTCTGGAGACTGGCTAGGCCACTCCAGGACCTTAATGTGCTTCTTCTTGAGCCATTCCTTTGTTGCCTTGGCCGTGTGTTTTGGGTCATTGTCATGCTGGAATACCCATCCACGACCCATTTTCAATGCCCTGGCTGAGGGAAGGAGGTTCTCACCCAAGATTTGACGGTACATGGTCCCGTCCATCGTCCCTTTGATGCGGTGAAGTTGTCCTGTCCCCTTAGCAGAAAAACTCCCCCAAAGCATAATGTTTCCACCTCCATGTTTTACGGTGGGGATGGTGTTTTTGGGGTCATAGGCAGCATTCCTCTTCCTCCAAACACGGCGAGTTGAGTTGATGCCAAAGAGCTCGATTTTGGTCTCATCTGACCACAACACTTTGACCCAGTTCTCCTCTGAATCATTCAGATGTTCATTGGCAAACTTCAGACGGCCCTGTATATGTGCTTTCTTGAGCAGGGGGACCTTGCAGGCGCTGCAGGATTTCAGTCCTTCGCGGCATAGTGCGTTACCAATTGTTTTCTTGGTGACTATGGTCCCAGCTGCCTTGAGATCATTGATAAGATCCTCCTGTGTAGTTCTGGGCTGATTCCTCACCGTTCTCATGATCATTGCAACCTGCAACCCAGGTCGAGGGAGATTGACAGTTCTTTTGTGTTTCTTCCATTTGCGAATAATCGCACCAACTGTTGTCACCTTCTCACCAAGCTGCTTGGCGATGGTCTTGTAGCCTATTCCAGCCTTGTGTAGGTCTACAATCTTGTCCCTGACATCCTTGGAGAGCTCTTTGGTCTTGGCCATGGTGGAGAGTTTGGAATCTGATTGATTGATTGCTTCTGTGGACAGGTGTCTTTTATACAGGTAACAAACTGAGATTAGGACCTCTCCCTTTAAGAGTGTGCTTCTAATCTCAGCTCGTTACCTGTATAAAAGACACCTGGGAGCCAGAAATCTTTCTGATTGAGAGGGGGTCAAATACTTATTTCCCTCATTAAAATGCAAATCAATTTATAACATTTTTGACATGCGTTTTTCTAGAATTTTTTGTTGTGATTCTATCTCTCACTGTTCAAATAAACCTACCATTAAAATATAGACTGATCATTTCTTTGTCAGTGGGCAAACGTACAAAATCAGCAGGGGATCAAATACTTTTTTCCCTCACTGTATATATATATATTTGCGAGAAAAAAAAACATGGGGGATTGGAAGTGATGTGTGTCAGTAGCAGGATGTAAAATGCTATTTTCTAAATGTATATTTATCTATTTGAAACAGCAATTAATTGATCTTCTTTTCCTCTTCCCAGCTCTCCCCAGCCCTTGTCCTGTGGCACCCCCTTGTGAGCAGTAGAAGATGAGCACCTCGCCCACCCCTAAGGGCACGCCTGTGCAGCAGAGCTCCAGCGATGGGGGCCCTAGTGATGGGGTCCTTGAGGCCCTTGTGTCTCCACAGCACTCTACACCCGGCTCCTCCGGGCACCAACACAAGAAACGCGTCTCCAGTCTCCTGCAGAGCCCGGTGAGTAGCACACTGTGTGTGTGTGTGTGTGTGTGTGTGTGCGTATGCGTGTTCATGTGTGTGCATATACACAACTTTTCAAGGAGCAGTTTTAAAAGGTCCCTCTTCAGGTTCGCATTATGGACATCCCTTACTCACACTACCCTGACCTCCCCCTCATCCCATCGTTCCACCCTTTCATGTCCACCCTGTGTCCAATCCCTCTGCCCTCCACTCTCCCTTCCCCCTCATTAGATCTCCAAAGATATGATTATCTCCACAGCTCAGATTTAATCTGCTCTGAATCACCACTTGACAGCTGCGGCTGCAGACGGTAGCCTTTGCCATAGTGGTGTGTGTGTGTGTGTGTGCATGTGCCGTGCCTGTGTGCGCGTGTGTGTGTGTGGGAGGGACACAAAAAGGCTAAAGAGGGCTGGAGCAGCGGACAGTGCTAAGGAATGGCGGGAGGGAAATGCATTAGATGATGCAATCATGTTAGATGAACAGAGGTGACTCCGGTTTAAAAGCCATTTATGTGAACATTTGATGTGTCTGTCTGCTCTAGGAACTATTCTGATCCGTGCTGTATTTGTGAGTGTGTTTGGGTGAGTATTTTAGCACTCAGGCTAATTGTGTGTATTTTAGAAGCATGCAGGCTTATAGTTGTGTGTGTGTGTGTGTGTGTGTGTGTGTGTGTGTGTGTGTGTGTGTGTGTGTGTGTGTGTGTGTGTGTGTGTGTGTGTGCAGTCGTTCCATGAGGAGCTGGATGTTCTGATCCAGGAACAGATGAAGAAGGGAGGCAGCAGCTCCAACCTCTGGGCTCTAAGGCAGCTAGCTGACTACATGGCCTCTCACGGCTCACCTGCCGCCCTGTCCGCCTCCCCCTCCAGTACAGGTACTGTATAGGTACACACACACATGCATGCGCACGCACATACACACACTCAAACATACTCACAGACATACTCATGTTCAAATACACGTCACTCAGACATTGAGCCAAATAGGGCAATTTTGCAATCGATTTCTAACATCAAGACACAGACAACTAACTCCCCGAATCACCTCACCAACAGATAACAAACACACACACACAAGATAATGTTCTGTGATCTGCTATTGACTTCTCTCTCTGTGTAGGCATGATGATGGTGACGCCCATCAATGACCTACATGGCTTGGAGCCCAGCAGCATGGTGAAGGGAGAGAGGCTGATGCGCTGTAAACTGGCCAGTGTTCACCGCTTGCTGGACCTCTACGGCTGGGCCCAGCTCAGCCACACCTGCCTCACCGTAAGTAGACCTGCCTGGCTGACAACCTCTTTCTGTGATTCTTTCTCTATATCATTATTTTACTTTGTTCTTTTAGAGCCCTATTTTGACAATGCAAAAAACACTACTGTCAAAAGAGATGGTTTTAGTACATCACTACCATTACAATGTCCATTAGGGTAAAATTGTATGCAAGTTTTGACATTTCGGAGCAGATACTTGACTATGCAGATGTGTAACTCATTTTTAAAGGACATCATCTCAGTTTTTACCTTTACTTTCTCTCTCTCTCTCTCTCTCCTCTCTCTCTCTCTCTCTCTCTCTCTCTCTCTCTCTCTCTCTCTCTCTCTCTCTCTCTCTCTCTCTCTCTCTCTCTCTCTCTCTCTGTTTGTTCTATTTTTTACCTTTGGCCTTATTCTCTCTCTGTTTGTTTTCTATCCATCCCTTTCTTTTCTCTATCCCTCTTTCTGTTTGTAAAGTTTGGTATCTGACAGAGCTATGTGTGTGTTGTCTCCTGTCAGCTGCGTGTCAGTAAGGAACAGGAGCACTTCCTGGTTCTGCCCGATGGCCTGGCCTATGGTGAAGTCACTGCCTCTAGCCTGGTGAGTTCACTACTAATTCTGCTCCACAGTCATAAAGTGAACCTATATACTTGCTGTGGGTTATTATGTAAATAGCCTGATCCACATTTGAGTTTAGCTGCTAACATAAACAATACTTTTAACTGGCCGATGCACATACAGTGGGGAAAAAAGTATTTAGTCAGCCACCAATTGTGCAAGTTCTCCCACTTAAAAAGATGAGAGAGGCCTGTAATTTTCATCATAGGTACACGTCAACTATGACAGACAAAATGAGGAAAAAAAATCCAGAAAATCACATTGTAGGATTTTTAATGAATTTATTTGCAAATTATGGTGGAAAATAAGTATTTGGTCAATAAAAAAGGTTTCTCAATACTTTGTTATATACCCTTTGTTGGCAATGACACAGGTCAAACGTTTTCTGTAAGTCTTCACAAGGTTTTCACACACTGTTGCTGGTATTTTGGCCCATTCCACCATGCAGATCTCCTCTAGAGCAGTGATGTTTTGGGGCTGTCGCTGGGCAACACGGACTTTCAACTCCCTCCAAAGATTTTCTATGGGGTTGAGATCTGGAGACTGGCTAGGCCACTCCAGGACCTTGAAATGCTTCTTACGAAGCCACTCCTTCGTTGCCCGGGCGATGTGTTTGGGATCATTGTCATGCTGAAAGACCCAGCCACGTTTCATCTTCAATGCCCTTGCTGATGGAAGGAGGTTTTCACTCAAAATCTCACGATACATGGCCCCATTCATTCTTTCCTTTACACGGATCAGTCATCCTGGTCCCTTTGCAGAAAAACAGCCCCAAAGCATGATGTTTCCACCCCCATGCTTCACAGTAGGTATGGTGTTCTTTGGATGCAACTCAGCATTCTTTGTCCTCCAAACACGACGAGTTGAGTTTTTACCAAAAAGTTCTATTTTGGTTTCATCTGACCATATGACATTCTCCCAATCCTCTTCTGGATCATCCAAATGCACTCTAGCAAACTTCAGACGGGCCTGGACATGTACTGGCTTAAGCAGGGGGACACGTCTGGCACTGCAGGATTTGAGTCCCTGGCGGCGTAGTGTGTTACTGATGGTAGGCTTTGTTACTTTGGTCCCAGCTCTCTGCAGGTCATTTACTAGGTCCCCCCGTGTGGTTCTGGGATTTTTGCTCACCGTTCTTGTGATCATCTTGACCCCACAGGGTGAGATCTTGCGTGGAGCCCCAGATCGAGGGAGATTATCAGTGGTCTTGTATGTCTTCCATTTCCTAATAATTGCTCCCACAGTTGATTTCTTCAAACCAAGCTGCTTACCTATTGCAGATTCAGTCTTCCCAGCCTGGTGCAGGTCTACAATTTTGTTTCTGGTGTCCTTTGACAGCTCTTTGGTCTTGGCCATAGTGGAGTTTGGAGTGTGACTGTTTGAGGTTGTGGACAGGTGTCTTTTATACTGATAACAAGTTCAAACAGGTGCCATTAATACAGGTAACGAGTGGAGGACAGAGGAGCCTCTTAAAGAAGAAGTTACAGGTCTGTGAGAGCCAGAAATCTTGCTTGTTTGTAGGTGACCAAATACTTATTTTCCACCATAATTTGCAAATAAATTCATTAAAAATCCTACAATGTGATTTTCTGGATTTTTTTCCTCAATTTGTCTGTCATAGTTGACGTGTACCTGTCAAGGGCTGAGGTTAATGTGGTGTGGGAGTCAGGCGCAGGACACCGAAGCTTAGTCCAACAAAGTTTACTAGTGCAACACAAGGCAAAATACAATCAACGGCCTCAACATAAAACAGAGGCGAGCGATTACGCAAACTGTGCGTAAACTACAAAACAACAAACAGAGAAAACACGCAGCACTAACGGACAGGCGAATAACAACACACAAACTAACCAACACAAGACAGGCAACTTATAGGACACATAATCAGACACAAACGGACACAGGTGCAATAGACAGACAAAAGCAATCAAACATCGAAACATCTAACGGTGGCAGCTAGTACTCCGGGGACGGCGAAAGCCGAAGCCTGCCCGAGCAAGGAGGAGGAGCAGCCTCGGCAGAATCCGTGACAGTACCTATGATGAAAATTACAGGCCTCTCTCATCTTTTTAAGTGGGAGAACTTGCACAATTGGTGGCTGACTAAATAATTTTTCCCCCCACTGTAAGTACTAATTATTCAGTCAACTAACTGATGCTTAGTTTAACTTGCCCCTGTTATTACAGAACTCCTTCAAGAAGGGCTTAACTTAGTTAAACATTGTAATAAACAATACGCTTTGCAATAAGCATTACACAAATATAAATGAATGTGACACTGAGTGCTGATGCTAGTGTTGCTCTGCGTTGTTGTCCTCCCAGGCGAAGGTGAATATCCTGGGGGAGGTGGTAGAGAGGGGCAGCACCACCCTGGGGGTAGACCTGGATTCCTTCAGCCTCCACTCAGCCATCTACTCCACCCGGCCAGACGTACGCTGTCTGGTGCACCTCCACACCCCTGCCACCGCCGCCGTGAGTCACACATACACTGGGGCTGGGGCCTGGGGGACAGGGCACACTCAGAACTATCATTATTAACATCTTTTCACATAGTCTCAAATGTTTTAGGACTAGGGAGCACTAGAGATGATACTTTTTAGGATAAGATGTAGGCATTATTCACATTTAATGATGACCAGTGTTGAAAAAACCTGTCTAATCCTTCATTCCAGAATGTGACTTATAGTTGTCTCTGTGTGCAGGTGTCCGCCATGAAGTGTGGCCTCCTGCCACTGTCCCATGAGGCTCTGCTGGTGGGTGAGGTGGCGTATTATGACTACAATGGGCTGATGGAGAACGAGGAGGACAGGGTGGAGCTCCAGAAGAGCCTCGGGCCCACCTGCAAGGTGACAACATTACGGCAGAGCAAGGGTTGTAAATGTCCTGATACTGCTAATTTGCTGCTTGAGAAAGAGCAACAATTTGTTTTCCCATAAATAGGGAAAACATTAGTTACTTTTACTCAATATATTTGTAAAACAATAACAATTGCAATGACATGGCCGAAGAAAGAGGAGGAAATGAGAGATAATGAACAAAAATCCCCACCGAGTGTACTCTGAGGCAAAAGAGGGTTTTACTATGTTTTTTCTCTTGCTGAAGTCTATCTTTATTCCTAGGTGCTGTTGCTTCGAAACCATGGCATCGTGGCCCTGGGGGAGTCAGTGGAGGAGGCTTTCTACACCATCTACCACATCCAGGCTGCCTGTCAGATCCAGGTACAGAGACACACATACTGACATCGCTTCTGCCTGCTCCCTCCTGCCAAAGGCTTGAGGCACAACTCTGACAGCCACACTGAGAGAGAAAGGGAGGACTCCCAGACTCATAGCTCAGTGACTGTGTGTGCGTGAGAGAGAAAGGGAGAGGGAGAGGGAGAGAGAGGGAGGGAGTGAGAGAGAGAGAGAACTGCCAGACTCATAGCTCAATGTCTGTGTATGTGTGTGTATGAGAGAGAGAGAGAGTGAGAGCTTTGGCAGCTTCACTCCTGAATGCTTGTCCTTGCCTTAGTACCCTAGACTTCCTGACGGGCCGCCCCCAGGTGTTAAGGGTAGGTAACAACACATCCGCCACGCTGATCCTCAACACGGGGGCCCCTCAGGGGTGCGTGCTCAGTCCCCTCCTGTACTCCCTGTTCACTCATGACTGAACTGCATGGCCAGGCACGACTCCAACACCATCATTAAGTTTGCCGATGACACAACAGTGGTAGGCCTGATCACCGACAACGATGAGACAGCCTATAGGGAGGAGGTCAGAGACCTAGCCGTGTGGTACCAGGACAAAAACCTCTCCCTCAACGTGATCAAGACAAAGGAGATGATTGTGGACTACAGAAAAAAGAAGAGGACCGAGCACGCCCCCATTCTTATCGACGGGGCTGTAGTGGAGCAGGTTGAGAGCTTCAAGTTCCTTGGTGTCCACATCACCAACAAATGAACATGGTCCAAGTACACCAAGACAGTCGTGAAGAGGGCATGACAAAACCTCTTCCCCCTAAGGAGACTGAAAAGATTTAGCATGGGTCCTCAGATCCTCAAAACGTTCTACAACTGCATCATCGAGAGCATCCTGACTGGTTGCATCACTGCCCGGTATGGCAACTGCTCGGCCTCCAACCGCAAGGCACTACAGAGGGTAGTGCGTACGGCCCAGTACATCACTGGGGCCAAGCTTCCTGCCATCCAGGACCTCGATACCAGGCGGTGTCAGAGGAAGGCCCTAAAGATTGTCAAAGACCCCAGCCACCCTAGTCATAGACTGTTCTCTCTGCTACCGCACGGCAAGCGGTACCGGAGCGCCAAATCTAGGTCCAAGAGGCTTCTAAACAGCTTCTACCACCAAGCCATAAGACTCCTGAACATCTAATCAAATGGTTACCCAGACTATTTGCATTGTCCCCCCCCCCCCCTTACGCTGCTGCTACTCTCTGTTTATTATCTATGCATAGTCACTTTAATAACTCTACCTACATGTACATATTACCTCAATTACCTCGACTAACCGGTGCCCCCGCACATTGACTCGGTATCGGTACCCCCTTTATATAGCCTCGCTATTGTTATTTTACTGCTGCTCTTTAATTATTTGTTACTTTTATTTCTTATTATCTTTTTATTTAATGTTTTTGGGGTATTTTTGGGGGGGTATTCTTTCTTAAAATTGCATTGTTGGATAAGGGCTTGTAAGTAAGCATTTCACTGTAAGGTCTATACCTGTTTATTCGGCGCATGTGACAAATACAATTTGATTTGATTTGATTTTTGTATGTGCAGTACTGTAACTGTACGCTGCCAAACACAAAGCATAACACACTGCTGCAATCCTGTGTTGTGCTGACAGGTGTCAGCATTGTGCAGTGCTGGAGGAGAGCAGAACCTGATCATGTTGGACCGCTCCACCCATAAACCCAACGCTGCAGGCACCGTGGGCTGGGCCGGATCCACCTTCGGCCCCCTGACCAAGAGTCGACTCGGGGAGCACGAGTTTGAGGCTCTCATGAGGACTCTGGACAACCTGGTGAGATCAAAACACAGAAGCACATTTACAATACTACAACTATTCTCAATTTAGTGGAATTATTCAATGTAGAGTACTGATTTACAATGCTATAAGCATTGTCAATTTAGTGGAATGGGGAAAGTAATTACGAATAGGGTAGGTAAAATGTTGTTTATGACATGCACTGGTCTGGATCTTATCAAACAGATCACTTGTGTCCCCCTGCACTAATGCATTAACATCCACCATACACAATACTGGATAAACAGTACTTAGAATATGCAGAAACTAAGAGGGACCCAGGCACAGGTCTTACCTACTTTAACCCTCCAGGATGTGGATCATATGGATCACTTTTACCTTTGGACATTGGACATTTACAATACATCAATCAGACAGAAACTTGACTATAAACCTCCCTGTCCCCACCCTCCAGGGTTACCGTACCGGCTACGCCTACCGCTTCCCCGTGCTACTGGAGCGTTCACGGACACGGAGGGAGGTGGAGGTCCCCGCCACAGTCCACTCCTTCCAGTTTGAGGAGGAGGGGGTGCACCCATTACCCCGCCAGCACCCCTACGCCCAGCGGCAGCAGCAGGAGAAGACCCGCTGGCTCAACACCCCCAACTCCTACCTGAGGGTGAACCAAGACCAAGCCAGCCCCGGACACCAGCGCACCACAGTAAGTACCTGAGGGCAAGCCCTGGACACCAGCGCATCACAGTAAGTACCTGAGGGCAAGCCCTGGACACCAGCGCACCACAGTAAGTGCCTGAGGGCAAGCCCTGGACAACAGTGCACCACAGTAAGTACCTGAGGGCAAGCCATAGACACCAGCGCACCACAGTAAGTACCTGAGGGCAAGCCCTGGACACCAGCGCACCACAGTAAGTACCTGAGGGCAAGCCATGGACACCAGCGCACCACAGTAAGTACCTGAGGGCCAGCCCCGGACACCAGCGCACCACAGTAAGTACCTGAGGGCCAGCCCCAGACACCAGCGCACCACAGTAAGTACCTGAGGGCCAGCCCCAGACACCAGCGCACCACAGTAAGTACCTGAGGGCCAGCCCCGGACACCAGCGCAACACAGTAAGTACCTGAGGGCAATGTTCCCTCCTAAGCTGCGCGCGTGCCCGCAGTAGCCTGAGACTGCCATGCAGCTCCCCCGGGACTGCTGAGCAGAAATATCAGCCCACAGAGAGAAGCACAAGATTGAACTTCACTCAACTTTCTAGAGCAGTGTTCACCAAGGCATTCCTAGTCGATCGCCAAACATTTATGTAAAACACCCAACGATAAAGCCTTGAGTTCCTATTATTTTATTCTTCTTCTCGGGCTGTTGGCGGTAGGTGCACCCTATTCATCTGCCCTGTGCGCCGGGTAGGCAAACTGTTGCCATTTTTAACCATTTCATATATCTGAAGGTACAAACTCTACCTTCCCAGCGGGCCCAGAGAGCAAATCAAGTGCACATTGGCCTACTGCTGGCCAATCAGATGGCTCATATTACTGTGTCTGCAGTAATGTCGCAGCCATAAGAAATCTACAGCAAAGTTGATACTGTGAGATTTCAAAACGTTTAAAACCATGACTAGAGAGAGACTGTCAACGAATACAGCAAAGAGCTGCTGTTTTTATGAGTGAGTTCATGTTTAAGTTCTTACTCAGCACTGTCAACACTTTGTATTCAACACTTTATTAAGCCATAAAATGCGCATTCTTCCTATTTCCACTCAGCGCTACAACAAGCACTGCAGCAGTAATGAATGAGTAGGAAAGTGTATCTATAGGATTGCAATGTTGTTATAATTAGCGGTTTGGGTCTTTTTTTTATGTCGAGGAATATTTCACTTTCTCTGTTCATAGGAATAACAATATGAATTTGCGCATGAGGCAGAAATATTGCGGTGCAACTGAAGTTTCATCATCAGCTGGAAGACGGTGTCCCTTTTTGGTCAGTGTCAGTGGAGGAAAAGGAGAGCGGAGGGATGTTGAGAGGTGGACCCTCTGTCTGCTGCTCTCTCCCTCCGCTGAGACTGACCATCAGATGCAGGCACCATCAGCCCAGTAAAATAGAAATAAAAAGCAAATTATTTAAATGTCTGCTCACTCAGCTGTGCCTCACAAGTAATACAACAACGGATCTATCACCGGTGGGATCATATAGCATGCCTCAAATTTTGAAATATGATTTTAAAAAATGGCCTGAACAACAATGCATTGGCAGAGCAATTCAAGCAAAGCCAAAATGCTGTGATAATGTATTGGGCCTATAGCTTACTGCACAAACCTCATTGCTACAGTACAGTTTTTTTATTGGTTAAGCATAGGCTTATGTTTTTTAAGTCATGTATAAAAAATACATCTGAGCAGTAGATCTCGGCTTGCATTTTGACTCAGAAATTGATTGACTCAGAAAAGGTTGGTGACCACTTCTAGAGTTTTCCCTGTTAACACTATCAACGTTTCCCTTTACTGTGGCAATTGTGATCGAATCAACGCAATATTAGTCACTTTCAATGCAACATACCGAAACAAAACAAACTATGCAAGAGATTTTGTGTGCTTGAAAAGGCGTTTAAAACAGGCTGTTTGCTGTAGTACCTCAGGGAGAGAGATTGTTACAGAGGAATGGAGTCCTTTCAGACAGAACAATACAAGGCAGACAGAGACCCTCTTACATCAGGCAGGGGGAGGAGACTAGCTCTCGCTCTCTCTCCTGTACCTCCCACCCTCTCTTTCTCCTGTCCTCTGCATTGCAGGGGAGTGCCCAGTACTGGTGTCGATTACTGCAGTGCTGAGTCTGCCCTCTGGTGGTGGAAAAGAAAGGCACTGCAGTGGTGTTTCTCTGTCTGAGAACACACGTGATAATAATAACACTGCACTCAGAATGACAACAACACTGTGTAACACACTGGTTTAAAATAATGGTTATTGTTGTATCTTGATTTCAGTTAAACATGCTTTCAGAGTCAAATGACCATGGTGCAAATATTCTTTACTGGATTCAATAGAATATCAGGAGGATGTCATCCGAGAAAGGCATATTGCCCAGCCCAATGCCTTTCTCTCTCTCTCTCACGCTCTCTCATATATAAGATCAACTTTGTCCCCAAAAAATGTAATTGAAAGCACAAACGTGTTGATGGGGAAAAAGCATTTCAAGCAATGTTTATGGGATGTTTATGGGATGGGTCATGCAGCAGAACTCCTGACCCTTAATACTCCTCTCTCCTTCCTCAGTGGCTGAAGACAGAGGAGATGCAACAAGGAGCCATCAAGATTGAGAACTCAAATCAGTTTGTTCCTCTTTTTACCAACCCTCAAGAGGTGCTGGAAACACGAAATAAGGTACCTTTGCCTTACGGCTCCCAGTGAGCAATGATGTCACCGTATGGATGTACTACAGGGATCACATGGTTTGGTGTTGGGTTTTCAGCCTTTCAGGTTGTTGTTGTTTATCTCCAGATCCGGCAGCAGAACCGTCAGGACATGAAGACAGCAGGACCCCAGTCCCAAGTACTAGCTGGTGTCATAACGGATGGTAGTCTACCGGTAAGGCTCAAGTACTAGGCCTACAGTGATGTGGCTACTAGTGCTGGAGTATGTGTGAATGCTTGCTTTTTACATTTTCATTTGATGTGCTGTATTTCTGTCTTTGATGTTAAACTGAGACCCTATGGTCTTGTCGCAAGAGATGGATTGTTTACCCTGTTGTCCTGGTTAAATACGATTCCTAACCCAGCTGCAGAGCTACTTTGGCCACCTAACCATCCCCACTAATCATCCTCTTTCCCCTGCTTCTCATTGTATCATCCATTCATTCATTCAACCCCTCATCTTCCACCCTGCTACTCTTCCCCAGGTCCAGCAAAAACTGCATGTTGCTGTAAAAAAGAGTGTGCTCTCAGTCAACAATAACAACAAAGTAAAGGTAAACAAATAAATAACATAGTCAGAGAGAGAGAGACGGCATCATGAACCATGAAGACGATTAAACCAATGAGCTCTTCTTAGAGCAAACACAAAGAAGATGGGAACTTTACTGGGAATGAGTCATTTGAGTGTGACATTGAAATGAGATGGGAAGCCTCTTGGGTCGACAATGACTATCAAAACCAAAACAATTGTAACATCCTTCCCTTCTCCTTTTCACCCTAGTCTCCAGACCCGGCAGAACTTGCGAAACCTGAGCCAGAGACCCCCAACCCGTTTAACCAGCTGACAGACAAGGAGCTGGATGAGTACCGCAAGGAGGTGCAGAGGAAAGCAGAAGGTCAAACAGATGGTAAGTGCACTGCTACCAAAAGCTATCCCTCACACTAAATCGAGAGCTTGGGACTATAAGGTTCTATCTGCATTTTTGAAAACAATATATGTTATTATATAGTACTCTAAATATCCCAATTCATGTTGTTAAGTTCAAAAGTATACAAGATCAAAAAATTGCTACACCATTCAAACCAATGAGGGTTTGGAACTTTAAAGCCAATTATCTCAGAATCATCTTTTTGCAGATAGAACCTAATATCCCAAGCTCTAGAAATGTTCCCTTACACTATCCCTCACTCAAAATGTGTCTCGCTGTTGCCTGACGACTCAAACAAATTATTCCGCTGCTCTATGTTCGCTACATACTTCAGTCTGAGACTGTCATCGTTGAAGTCGTTTGTGGTGACGTTAAAATGAGGGGTGTTGTACAAAAAGTAATCAGCGATTGGTTCATCTCTAACCAATCAGAGTATTAAAGCCAATGACACATTTTCTAAACGCCACTTTACCCACGTGTGTTATGGCTCTGGCCCAAACCATCGGTTCCTGGGACCAATCAGAACGGTTAGAATGTGTTTGCCTTCTATAAATATTTTGGGAGGTACTCAGATCCAGACTCATTGCGGAGAAGAAACTAACGTCTGTGGGCGTGGCGTAGCATTTGGCCGGAGCAAGGAGTTTGGGTAGCCAGGCAAGGCTCGCTATACTCACAGCAATGAAACCTCAGACTGTACAGTTAATGTGTCTTTCTTTCACCTATTCCTAATTCACTTCTCACTCTGCCTCACAACTCTTGCACGCGGCTTACTAGAATTAGCTCTATGTACTGTTCTCCTGTGTCTGTCTGTCTGTCTTTCTGTGCGTCAGTAGGGGAGGAGGTGGAGAATGAGAAGGAGTCTCCCCCAACTACCCCCCCACCAACAACCCTACCCCCTGCAATCCCCCACCCTCAGGTGAGACTCGGCCTGCAGTGCTGAACACACACAGCTGTCGCTGCTTGCCTTGCATACAGGGGAGAAGGACTGCTCAAATTCCTACATGACAATATGTGGGACCCTGTACTGTTGTCTCCACTCTGTGCCTCTTCAACTGCTCATTGCCAACCCCTGTTGCGCTCACCATCGTTGAATATTTCCCAAAATATTTCAATCCTAACTTGAGATATGTAACATGGACGTTCACATTAAACATGCATTGATATCAATGTATGGAGTTACGTGCATGGATCTCAATTAGTAGACTATTGTACAATAAGCTCAATGGCTGAGTGATGTGTGTGTGGTGGTGTTTGTTGTTGTTGTAAATGTCACATTTCAGTGCCGTCTTGTGACGCCCATCTGTCTTCACAACTACTGTATGTACCTCTCTCCTTCTGTCTCTGTGTTTGTCTTTGTCTATGTTCCTCTATACTGACTCATAGGGCACCCCTCTGGTACTAAGATCTTGTCTCAATAGTAAGTAAGTACTGAGAAACAAACTCTAAGACATTGTTGCACTCTCATTAACCAAGCATGTTCTGTTGGGCACAACTGCAATGACATGACATGTCTGCAGTGAAGGGGAGAGTGGGGTAAGTTGAGCCAAAAGGGTAAGTTGAGCCACCCTTGTTTCTAGGAAACCATACCCCAAAAAGAATTTGACCAAATATTTAGAAAGAGGTCATCATTTCATGGAGTCTGTGAAGGAAGCAACCACATGGGAAAAGTGGTAAGCAATTTAGGTCTAAAAAAGTCTAATGAATTTAATGTGTTAGAAGTTTTATGATACTTGCATCTAAACTAAAGTAGATCATTTTAAGATTCTTATATGTTCAGTTGGGGTCTCTATAAGCTTCAATATGAGGTCCTAAACATGTCCTAGCATGAAAGTGCATTCTTGTAGCTGTGTGGGCTAATATAGTCAAAATGTTTGCCTTGGGTTTAGTTGAGCCAATGGGCATGGGGTAAGCAAATGTAAGTGTTTTCTTCCCAGGCGTAATGCAAGGCATTATCACTGGGATATGAGGTAACAACAGGGCCTGGCCTATGTTAAAAGTGTTTTCAAAAAGTACCAAGTGTTTATTATGTGTTAAGCCTGTGTTAAAATATGCTTACAATTATTAAAAGACAAAAGTGATTGTGATTGTGTTGAATTGTGTTTGGGAAATAAAGATAAAGAGTTTTAAAAAGGTAGTGGTAATATTTCAGTCAGTACAGAAATGTGTAGGCGGCTTAACTTACCCTGTCCTGCGGCTCAACTTACCCCATACCCGTATCACCTTTTTTGGGGCAAGCTATGTTTTTACATGAATTCTGATTATTTCCAGGGATACACAACATCCTGAAATATATGTATATATCTTTGTTAGAAAGAATACTATTATTTCCCTTAACAGAGTGATGCTGAATGTAAAAAATGGTTCCACTTACCCATAGCCGCAGGAAGATGTTTTGTCGCATGCACTACAGACGGAGATATCGATGGTGGGGGGGGGGTTGTATCTTTTTTAGGGGGTGCTGCAGCACACCTACTTCCCGCATACTATGGACTTACCCCACTCTCCCCTACTTTTCCATGCAGCTAACACAAACAAATCAATTTTGTCTGATTGTGTTTTTTGTTCTTTTTTTTTTTTTACTCCAATAATAAATGAACAAGATGAGACAAAGAAAGACTCCACGGCAGTTCAGAACGGGAAAGGAGAGGAGGAGAAGCAGACCACGGAGGAGCTGGAGAAAGGGATGAAGGCTTTGTCTACCAATGACACTTCTACACCCCCCTCCACCACCCCTGCTGCCCCACCCGCTAAACCGCCCAGCAACACCCCTGAGGGATCCCCCTCCAAGTCCCCCTCGAAGAAGAAAAAGAAGTTCAAGGCCCCCTCATTCCTAAAGAAGAGCAAGAAGAAAGAGAAAGCTGAAACTTGAGGGGACATGTAAAAGATTCTGACACACACCCTCCACTTCTCACTCACACTCAAGTCTCCTGTATGTATAGCTCAGTCACTCATCACGTCTAGAAGTAATTCTAATTCTATGTTTTATTTGGCGATATTGTTTCTGTACAACTCTCAAATGATCTTGAAACAATCCACAATAATTCAAAATGAAATAGAATCAACAACACCACCTTAATGATGCACTCCCTATTTATTATAAGAAGGAATGCACTTGACACAATATGATTATAAACCAATGCTGCATTGAAGCATCCTCATAGGTACCCCCTGGTCTGGTCATGTTTATTAGTTTTTAATAGTCAGATGAAGGTGACAGGTATGTACAGTAATGCGAGCACAGGTGCAGTACATCTAGAATTATGCAGGTATAATAATGTGCTATTTTTAGCAGAAGTCTTGTTCCAATTAAACTAACTATTCAAGTCATAGACAGCAGGGACAAATAAGGAAATAAATGCTTAAAAAAGAAAGTCCCGAACATTAAGCTGACAGCTATAAATGCCACTAATACCAAGCAAGGATATGATCTAAGCATTATGGAAGAAACTTGTTGCTTGATGTTGCAAACTGAAGCCAAACTAAAAGGCACTAAACATTCCACTTTTCACCAAATGTTTCTTTGAAATATGTGTACAAAATGCCTCTACAGCTGTAATTATTTTTATGATCAGTAGCTGTTATCAAAATGCTGATGTGTGATATTTGTTGGTTTTTAATGTATTATTTCATATTAGAATGTAAAGTGAAAAGTTGCAAGGTTAAAATGTACCAGTCATTAAAGATCAAAGTTGATTTCAATCCAGTTTGGTTTGATCTGTTCTTCGTTACAATAGCAAATGTACTTGATGTGAGATTCAGGGACAATAAAGTAGCCATTCTGATATACCTTGCCTAACTTTTTTATAATGTATCTTGGTTAGATATGCCTTCATTTATCAAGGCATGATCTCATGAGTGATAGGAATAACATGTGCTTCAATATGTTTTTTGTTTTTTTTACTTCATGTCCATGGTTGTCAACCGTACCGCATGAATAGAACGTAAATCACAGAGGTTAGATGTTGTGGTGGCAGCTGCAGAGAAGTACTTGGGTGTACGATATTTTACTGCAGAAGAGTTACAAGGTGTTTTGAACGATAGTGTCCCGTCCTCCCAGGCTGCTGGCCTGGTGCAGGAACAGATAGGGCCAAAGTAGTTGAATAGTGATGATGTTTTAGTGGGTGTAGGGTTAGTTGGTAGGGCAATTTTTTCACAAAGTGTAATGAATTTATACTACAGAATAGTAGGCTGATACACAGCCAATACAGTAGGCGGCGGCAGGCACCTAAAACATTTGTTTGGGGACCACCATAATACCAAGGAAAAGAATACATTGGAATGTTAAAGATGTTAGGCTGCAAATATACGGTCAGGATATAGGTAGGGTGTCTAAGTTTAAGTATTTAGGTATGTGGTTTGATGAGAGGCTCACATGGAAGAGACATGTTGAGTATATTGAAATTAAGTGTAGGAAGGTGCTGAACCTCATGAGGGCAGTGGAAGGATATGATTGGGGGTCAAATAGACAAACACTGTTGTATACTGTATATACCAGATATTGATCAGGTCATATTCTAAAACGGTACTACAGCGCCTGGATAGGATACATTCAAGGGCCCTGAGATTGTGTGTAGGTGCCTTCAGGACGACACCTGTTGAGGCATTGCAGGTGACAAGTGGGGAACTCCCACTGAGGATAAGGCGGGACAAACTGGCATTAGTGTACTGGGCGAGGTTGAAAGGGAGTTCAGAAGGACATCCTGCGGTCACGGCAACTGGGGAATGCTGGGAGCGAGGAGTGGGTAAGCAGAGGGCGTACGGGTGGACAATCAGGCAGAAGGTGGTAAATATGTACTGGGTGAGAGAGATAGGGCCGGCAATTGCATTGGGGAACATTCTTCCGTGTCTGTTTCCAAAACCAAGTGTAGATGTGGACATGATTGACGGCAGGAGAGAATGGGGTGAAGACGTGACACTGTGTGTGGAGAGATATACAGTTGAAGTCGGAAGTTTACATACACTTAGGTTGGAGTCATTAAAACTCATTTTTCAACCACTCCACAAATTTCTTGTTAACAGACAGATTATTTCACTTATAATTCACTGTATCACAATTCCAGTGGGTCAGAGGTTTACATACACTAAGTTGACTGTGCCTTTAAACAGCTTGGAAAATTCCAGAAAATGATGTCATGGCTTTAGAAGCTTCTGATAGGCTAATTGACATAATTTGAGTCAATTGGAGGTGTACCTGCGGATTTATTTCAAGGCCTACCTTCAAACTCAGTGCCTCTTAGCTTGACATCATGGGAAAATCAAAAGAAATCAGCCAAGACCTCAGAAAAGAATTGTAGACCTCCTTGGGAGAAATGTCCAAATGCCTGAAGGTACCACGTTCATCTGTACAAACAATAGTATGCAAGTATAAACACCATGGGACCACGCAGCCGTCATACCGCTCAGGAAGGAGACGCGTTCTGTCTCCTAGAGATGAACGTACTTTGGTGCGAAAAGTGCAAATCAATCCCAGAACAACAGCAAAGGACCTTGTGAAGATGCTGGAGGAAACAGGTACAAAAGTATCTATATCCACAGTAAAACGAGTCCTATATCGACATAACCTGAAAGGCCGCTCAGCAAGGAAGAAGCCACTGCTCCAAAACCGGCATAAAAAAACCAGACTATGGTTTGCAACTGCACATGGGGATAAAGATCGCACTTTTTGGAGAAATGTCCTCTGGTCTGATGAAACAAAAATAGAACTGTTTCGCCATAATGACCATCGTTACGTTTGGAGGAAAAAGGGGGCAGCTTGCAAGCCGAAGAACACCATCCCAACCGTGAAGCACGGGGGTGGCAGCATCATGTTGTGGGGGTGCTTTGCTGCAGGAGGGACTGGTGCACTTCACAAAATAGATGGCATCATGAGGAAGGGAAATTATGAGGATATATTGACGCAACATCTCAAGACATCAGTCAGGAAGTTAAAGCTTGGTTGCAAATGGGTCTTCCAAATGGACAATGACCCAAGCATACTTCCAAAGTTGTGGCAAAATGCCTTAAGGACAACAAAGTCAAGGTATTGGAGTGGCCATCACAAAGCCCTGACCTCAAACCTATAGAACATTTGTGGGCAGAACTGAAAAAGCGTGTGCGAGCAAGGAGGCCTACAAACCTGACTCAGTTACACCAGCTCTGTCAGGAGGAATGGGCCAAGAGACATTTTAATGGAGCTGTGTGATACTTTGGAGCCAGCGCTGCGAAGCCATACCCAACGGTCCAATCCCGTACCACCTCATGTGCAGGTTCTCTCCACCTTGGGATTTTTAGCCACTGGGACATTTCAGCGGGAGTTAGCAGACCGGGTGGGCATATCACAGCCATCCATCAGTCGCGCTCTCCCACGAGTTGTGGATGGAATAAATCAACTGGCCACACAATATATTTTCTTCCCCTACACAGTGCAACAACAGCTGCCGGTCAAGAGAGGGTTCTACTCTATTGCGGGTCTGCACAACGTAATCGGGGCAATAGACTGCACGCACGCACCCGCTCCACCATTGAGCGAACCATTGGTATTCTGAAGGGACGCTGGATGTGTTTGGACACAGCAGGTGGTAAGCTGCTTTACAAGCCAGAGAAGGTGAGTAGGACTACTTGTTTTATTCAGGTTTGAAAAATGGAGAACATGTTGTAGAATAATCTAATTCCAACAATTCATTTTATTTAGTTTATCTAGCTTTTCATCATCTTTACACCGTTTTTAGGTTTGCAGAATAATCATGGCCTGTTGTGTGTTCCACAACATCGCTATGAAGCGTGGTGTTCCACCTCCACCACACCAGGATGTGCGTCCTGACCCATTGCTGGGACCAGACAACCGACTTGGCGTGGAAGTCAGACAACAAATCATTTCTCGTTTTTGATTTGTTTTGTCCTTTAAATACCACAAATTAAACACATGAAATGACACAGGTTTCAGTGCGCGTTCTTTATATTTTTAAATGTGTGTTTATGTCTGAGTGTTTCTGATATTGTGGCCAGAGTAGAAGCGATTTCACAGAGACTTTGCGCAATCTGCTCCTGGTTATCCAAGACTGCATCAGAGATGACATGTGCAGTTGGACGGGACCTGGGGGCACGTACAGAGGCAGGCCTACTGCAGGAAGGCCGAATGGTGTCAGGGTCCTCTTCACAGAGGGGTTGCCTGGATTGGAGATCTGTAAATAACAAAAACGATACTGAAAGTAAAACAGTCACAGTGCACTGATTAAATTTTTTTTTAACGTTTCTGTTTGTTCAATATAGGCCTACTGCAAAAGCAATAGGATTTCAAACTGAATAAACTAGGAATTCAGGTGAGGACTCATTCACACTCACATAGGCCCACATTTGGTTTGACAAACTGGTGTAAAATTCCTTTCCAATGGTTTCACCGTTGCTTCCAGTTAAATTATGGCATGAAATTGTATAAATTCAGAAAGACTTGCTTACCGTCTGATTCTGTCACGCTCGTTGACGGACGGGTCAGACCAAGGCGCAGCGTGATATGCATACATGTTTATTTAAACTTAATAAACAACGACAAAACAATAAACGAAACGTGAAGTCCAAGGTAGACACAAACAACATACTTTACACGGAAGAAGATCCCACAACCCACTAGTGCCAATAGGCTGCCTAAGTATGGTCCCCAATCAGAGACAACGAGCGACAGCTGCCTCTGATTGTGAACCACACCGGCCAACATAGATCTAGACATACTAGATAGAAAACATAGAAAATACAACATAGAAAATCACACCCTGACTCAACAAATAAGAGTCCCCAGAGTCAGGGCGTGACAGTATCCCCCCCCCAAAGGTGCGGATTCCGACCACACAACATAAACATAACAGGGTAGGGGCCGGGTGGGCATTCCGCCTCGGAGGCGGATCCGGCTCAGGGCGTGACGACCTCTCACTCTTCGCCTCCCTGTTGCGCCCCTGGTCTGGTCTAGACCTTGGCGTGTTGCTTCCCCTCTCCTTCCTCCTACTATACTCCAAGCCCTGTCTGGACCCTGGTGTGAGAGACCCCGAACCTGGAGAGGGGCTGACATCTGGGTCTGGACTGAAGCCGCTGACCGGAGCTTGACCGAGCACTGGTGGAGCGGACTGCTCAGGCTCCGGAGTGGAGCAGCTGACCGGAGCTGGATCAGGCACCGGTGGAGCGGACTGCTCTGGCTCCGGAGTGGAGCCGCTGACCGGAGCTGGACTGGACCCCGGTGAAGCGGATTGCTCTGGCTCCGGAGTGGAGCAGCTGACCGGAGCTGAACTGGGCAACGGTGGAGCGGACTGCTCTGGCTCCGGAGTGGAGCAGCTGACCGGTGCCGGACCAGGCACCGGTGGAACAGGCACGGGCCGTGCCGGACTGGACACACGCACCACTGGCTTGGTGCGAGGAGCAGGAACAGGCCGGACCGGGCTGGCGACGCGCACCACTGGCTTGGTGCGGGGAGCAGGAACAGGCCGTACCGGACTGGCGACGCGCACCACTGGCCTGGTGCGGGGAGCAGGAACAGGCCGGGCCGGGCTGGCGACGCGCACTACTGGCTTGGTGCGAGGGGCAGGAACAGGCCGGGCTGGCGACGCGCACCACTGGCTTGGTGCGAGGAGCGGGCCTGGATTCCTTTATTAATCCCCGCTCCTTCTGCTGCCTAACCAGCTCCTCTCGCCGTGCCTCTACAAATCCTTCTCCCTTTTAGCCTCCTGTAGCGCCTCCCTC